CATCATCATCATCACCACCATCATCATCATCACCATCATCACCATCATCATCATCATTACCACCATCATCATCATCACCATCATCACCATCATCATCATCATTACCACCATCATCATCATCACCATCATCACCATGACCATCATCATCATCACCATCATCATCATCATCATCATCATCATCATCACCACCATCATCATCATCATCATCATCATCATCACCACCATCATCATCATCACCACCATCATCATCATCACCATCATCATCATCATTATCACCAACATCACCATCATCATCACCATCACCATCATCACCATCATCATCAACATAACCACTATCATCAACACAATCACCACCATCAATCATCATCACCACCACCATCATCATCATTACCCAACATCACCATCCTCATCACCACCACCATCATCACCCTCATCATCAACACCATTGTCATCACCAAAGTTAATTATTTTGTTCCTATGCATGAATTGTAAATACGGGCATAATCTACGATATAAAGCGCGCCGTGAAAACCGGCTACCAATATAATTTCCAATACCTCTTATACGTAGCCGAGCGTTGAATTTTTTCTAAGTGTTGTTTAAGCTATAGTCAGAATTAGAAAGATTGTCGGAAAATATTCTAAGTCTTTTGTAAGTGAACCTTTGAAAAAGACTTGGAAAAATTTCAACCACCGGCTACAGAGCGTTGGTAGCCGGGCGTTGATTTTTTCTAAGTGTCGAGCGAATTTAGTTTCCCTCAAATCTGACCGGCTACCGGCTACCAATATAATTTCCAATTAAAAACACCGGCTACCGACCGGCTACCAGTCAAAATGACCGGCTACAGAGCGTTGGTAGCCGGGCGTTGATTTTTTCTAAGTGTAGTTTAAACTATAGTGAGAATTAGAAAATTTTTTAGAAAATATTCTAAGTCTTTTGTAAGTGAACCTTTGAAAAAGACTTGGAAAAATTTCAACCACCGGCTACCGGTAGCCGGGCGTTGATTTTTTTCTAAGTGTAGTTTAAACTATAGTGAGAATTAGAAAATTTGTTGGAAAATATTCTAAGTCTTTTGTAAGTGAACCTTTGAAAAAGACTTGGAAAAATTTCAACCACCGGCTACGAGCGAATTTAGTTTCCCTCAAATCTGACCGGCTACCGACTACCAATATAATTTCCAATTAAAAGCACCGGCTACCGACCGGCTACCAGTCAAAATTACCGGCTACCGAGCGTTGGTAGCCGGGCGTTGATTTTTTTCTAAGTGTCCTTTAAACTATAGTCAGAATTAGAAAATTTGTTGGAAAGTCTTTTGTAAGTGAACGTTTGCCAAGTCTTTTCTCAAACGCTCACTTACAAAATTTTCAAATTCTCACTATAGTTTAAACGACACTTTGGAAAAAATCAGGTAGCCGGTGGTTGAAATTTTTCCAAAGATTCGCTTACAAAAGACTTAGAATATTTTCCAACAAACTTTCTAATTCTCACTATAGTTTAAAGTACACTTAGAAAAAAAATCAACGCCCGGCTACCTATAAGAGGTAGCCGGTCATTTTGACTGGTAGCCGGTCGGTAGCCAGTGCTTTTAATTGGAAATTATATTGGTAGCCGGTAGCCGGTCAGATTTGAGGGAAACTAAATTTGCTCGACACTTAGAAAAAAATCAACGCCCGGCTACCAACGCTCGGTAGCCGGTGGTTTAAATTTTTCCAAGTCTTTTTCAAAGGTTCACTTACAAAAGACTTAGAATATTTTCCAACAAATTTTCTAATTCTCACTATAGTTTAAACTACACTTAGAAAAAAATCAACGCCCGGCTACCTATAAGAGGTAGCCGGTCATTTTGACTGGTAGCCGGTCGGTAGCCGGTGCTTTTAATTGGAAATTATATTGGTAGCCGGTAGCCGGTTAGATTTGAGGGAAACTAAATTCGCTCGACACTTAGAAAAAAATCAATGCCCGGCTACCAACGCTCGGTAGCCGGTGGTTGAAATTTTTCCAAGTCTTTTCAAAGCTTCACTTACAAAACACTTATTTTCCAACAAATTTTCTAATTCTCACTATAGTTTAAACGACACTTAATGATAAAAGAAAAAATCAACGCCCGGCTACCAACGTTCCATGGAATGTTTTCCTTAATTTCTTTTTAAAAGCACGAAAGACTAATGGTTTGAAGCAAATTTGATGTACAGTCTAACTATTGACAACCAGTGATAAAATGACTGTTTGTTATCAGGGAAATAAATATGTCAAAAATCAATGAAAAATTGAAACACAGAGTCACGCTATTGTCATATTATTACTTGGCATACAGATTTCATACAAATATAAAATTTCGCTATACGTTTAAATATACAAGCTCATAATGGTTACATTCACACTAATTTTAAGACTTCAGCCCTCTTTCTTAACGTATTTGGAACACGACATCCATTGAAATTAAATTCTGGATGACGCAATATCATGGACCAACGTAGACCAAATTGTTCAATGCCTAATCTAATGTAATTGTCCTCCTCGTGTGTAAAGCGAATACCTGAACGCCGTTTCGTTAATTCATGACTCGAAGTGGTTGGAGTGTCTTTGCAAAGATCTTCTTGTCCAGGTGATGACTGCTCTACCGACTCGGATTCAGTCTCCAAATTCTTACTTTTGTCAACTAATTTTTGCATGCACAAGCGTCCTCTTATTGCTACTTCTCGAGAACGTTTCTTTTGGTAATGTACACGGGCAACGTTAGAGCTGTGCTTCTGGTCTTCAGATATCCATTTTTGTTCGTTTGGTAGCAGAACCTGGGAACTTTCCGTCTCGATGATTTGTCTGTACCTAGTCGGATGAATGTACTTTCCGATGGCTTCGAACACCAGCACGCTGAAAAGATCTGTAAGTTTTTGAAACTGTTTACCATTTCGATTTACCAACACATACTCGCAAGTGGGTGTGAAAAGGGGTCTGATGTACGTTATATATTTTCCCAATATCTCCATGCTGCATTCGTCAAAGTACACACTATCAAACCCGTATTTTTTAGCTGTCTTGAAAATTGTCTGATCAACCATTCCTTCGTTTCTCTTTGCACTTTCAAACATTCGCAAGGTCAGATGCTGGTATGTCATAGGACGACAGCCTTTTACTTTCAGGAACATGTAAGCGGCTACGAATCGGGTGGCAAACGTGACGTCACCAGTTTTGACTGAAGAAGAACATGCCATACACTTTTCCAACACGGATTCATAACGTTCTACGTGAAATGGTATTACAGATTGAACTTCGGAAAGAGTAGCCCAACTTCTACGCGATTCGAGGGTTTCTATGTCTAATTCGGTTGTCCAATTTGATCTCATGCTCTTCCCTAAGCACTTTCGCGCTCTCTTCACATAAACCTCAGTAACGGCAAAATTTTGAAGCACTGATGCAGGGGGACGGTTAAATTTGCGAAAATCTAGTAAATCTGAAATGCTTGTGACATAGGATATTTGTCCTGATTGTCCAAGACCCCACTTTTCTTTTAGACTGTCCACGAATTTTGTCAACAGTTTTGGAGATCCCAAGGCGTAGTCGATTAAATTAGGGGAAGTTAGGACATCTTCCTCGGCGTCGCCACTCTCGTCGCAGCAAAACTTTACGAACTTTAAAGCTCTCGTGACTGAAATGTCCGATTGTTTAGGAGACTTGCCCCCGCCACAGCTGCTTTGAAGCCACTGCGAAAACGAACGAGCGAATTCATTATCTGTTGAGCAGCCAGGAACTGTTCTGGAAGCTTTTTCGTTAGTTCCATTCGCAGCAGACAGCGAAGTGTCGAAAAGGTCCATCGATACATTGGGCTTCTCGTCGAAATAGTAATACCAACCATGTTTTATTTTCACATGTTTACGACAACCTCTTTGACTTGCAAATCCTGGATGCTCGCAGCCCGTTACTGGACAATGATCTAACCCATCTCTGTCTTTGACCAAATGCAATCGTCTCTGTTTAGTAAACGCACCGTCGACTAACTTCCAATGTACTGTAGATTTTCTTCGTGCAAACATAAAAACTCGACAAAATGCTTAGCGATCAAATTACTTTGCTTTTTGTAGTGAACACGACACACACGCATTAGTATGCATATGCGATGTATTAATCTTATATGTTAAATAAATAGACCCAAGTGCAATATATTATTGTGTTATTTTGCAAAATAAATGGCAAAATTAAAATAGAGGAATGTTGGCTTTAAAGGGAACAATAAAACAGAACAATAAAACGGAACAACAAAAGCTAGCAATATGTGCATAACAAATTGTTCCAGTTTGCTAACCTAGTTGAAGAATATTAATGTTCCGCTTCGCGGAACATTTTGTTCCTAAGCAAAGGAACCATGAAAAGGAACAGATTAAGTGTTCCTAATACAAGTTGTTCTCAATCAGTTCCGCTTTGCGGAACATATTATAAACGGAACAACCAAATTGAAGTAGGAACGATTTGTTCCTTTTTAATTGCTGTTCCGTTTATAAATGGGAACACCCAACATAATTTACATGTATTCCTATTATGGGGTTTAAATATATGCAAAAACCATGGCAAAACAAATCGTTCTTGTCATGATGCAGTAGGTAACTTTAAATGCTTTTTCCTATTGAAATAACATGCTCACACCCTAGTGCTTCTGCCCAATTCAATTGTTTTGTTCCCAAAGCGCTTAATCATAGTAAATTTCTTGTTATTGTGATATTGTAAAAGGAACAATTTTTTGGGATACGCTACACCACCATTGTACAAAATATTGTTCCCTATGTAAATTACAGTAATCATACTAAAACTTATAGAAAGGCGTTCGCTGCAGACAACAATTTTTGTTACCAAATGCCACTCAAACCCCGAAAGGAACTTGATTCCTAACGTTTACAAAACACGCTTCGAGCAAATATTTTAACCTTGGTAAGTTTGCATCAAATTGTTTTTGGATTTGTGAAAATTAATAAACCTTTGTACGCAACCTGGATATAACGTAAATATAGTCGCTCTTTTATATCTATTAGCTAAAACCTAAGGATTGAGCAGTCGCATATCGCGCGACATGGAGAGTTCGGAATGAAGACCTTGAACTTGCTACACAACAGATTGCTTCCAAAAGATTGCTGTTGAACGATGTGATCGAAGCCATCGACGGTGTGCTTTTTTTCTTTTCATCGATTTCTGGTGTATGTTCGAATCCAAATGTTTCAACCGAGCCAAACAAGACAGCAAACAACGACATGTACCCTTGTGTAGCCTTTTTCATCGTGTACGAGTCGAGCGAAAAATGCAATGAGGAGACCAAATTAAACCAAATTTTCCAATGCCCAATAGTATACAACTGTCTTCTTCAGATGTAAAGTGAACACCTGAACGCTGTTTCGCTAATTTGTGGGTCGTAGTGGTTGCAATGTTTGGCACACATGCTCTTGCTCAGATGATGATTGCTGTTGCTTTTCGTATTCTTACTCTTTGCAATTATTAGTATTATTAAAGAGGGGGAAAAGTCCTTTCTGCACATGTGCTTAGCATTTGTTTATGTGGTCCTCACCGGAAATTGATTTTTGTCGTTCCCAGACTGTTTAGCGCTTGGTGCGCAGCGTATTGTTTATATTTGTATCCATCATGGCGGAACGCACTCCTTCCACATCGAGTGAATCGAATTTGCCATCGAGTATGAGCCATTGGAAGAAAGGCGCTAGCATAAAATAATATTTTGCGAATAGAGATGCTAGTAAAGTCTATCTATTTGATATATTTCCATGATGGAAAGAATTTAAAAAGGAAAGAAACATCCGAAGTGACAAGGATGTAGCTGAAATGTTGCTTGATGCATATCAGTCACAGATTCGATTGTGGTACGATTTTACATGAATAGATAAAGTTTGTCTTTAGTAAACTTTTTTCCTTACTTTTATTATTATCTTACGTCATTTTCTTTTATATTTTCCTGCAGTGTGAGTGTGGATACCCGGACAGAACCTGAAGCCATACCAACGACCCCTCTCGGAAGCATTCATGAGTCAGATGATTTTCTTTCGCCAGGTTAGCGCTTAGACCAAAAAATTGTTAGTGTGTGAAGCATTCATGAGTCAGATGGTTTTCTTTGGCCAGGTCAAACAATTGTCAGTGTGTTAAAATGCATCAACATGTTATTCTTATGCTCCTTATTTTTAAATTTTGTTTTTGCAGTGTTGACCTCGACACCTGGGACACAAGCTATGCAGGCTGGGACAAGCAGTTTTCCATCACCAAGTATGTTACTTGAAGAACAAGTATATTTTTTATAGTTTGATAAAATCAAGTGTAGTTTCCTAAACCTGATATCCATGAGATATAATGTGTAGATTGCACACAATGTATGGGTTAATAAACCAACAATATACTGTATCTACAATGATTTATCCACCCACATTCTTGTATAGTTATTGCTTCACACACAGAGTCATTGCCTTGCTCAAGTAGAAGGAATCTTCTACCTGATAGTTCACCATTATCTTTCAAGTCTACAAGGTTTGTAAAGTGTTCTATTGAAAGTAGTTTCTGTAAACATTTATTCAAATACCCTGTCTAGAAAAACTTGATAAATAGTTGTCCCAAAAAGTCGATATATTTTTCTTATGTATATTCTATTTTTTAAATCAAATAGAAGTGCTATCATGGAGGATGTGACATTCACTGCAAGCGAGGGTGACAAAAGCTGTGATGATGACACAACCCTGACAGCTTCAACTGTGCTGGGCATGAATGAAAGTGTTGAGTATGTGATCATTTAATTATAACTGAAATTTTGCACATTGCAGAGTTTTATCTCTCTACTCCTTAGTGGTTTGAATAGAATACCTTATACCCAAATTTAAAGTAATTCCGTTTAAACACATTTAATTCACAGTACACTTATGTTCTATACCTATTTTAAACCAAATTGTAATTTTTGGCCTCACATGTTCATTTTAGATTGCCTCTGCTGGAAGTATCCATTGAGGATGATGTGTTCAACACTTCAATCTATGGCCACAATGACGAAGTTCTGGCAGATGATGGAACTGAAGCAAGTGATAGCACCGACAAAATACCTGTAATGACAGTACCTCCAGATGAAGCTATTCAAATGGAGAAATGTATTGTTTTTACTGATACTCTCATGTCATTGCTGAAGGAATTACATGGGAGAATCTGTAAACGACATGGCTGTGATCATGTCCTGGATTATCGCAAGACCGATGTTGGTACATGCCTTGTTGTTTCCTGGGGATGCAGTGCTGGTCATAAAGGAAGCAGATGGGCAGCTCAACCCAGTTGTGATTGTGATAAGATAAGAGCTGGGAATCTCATGCTTGCTTCTGCTTTGTTGTTGTCTGGAAACTCATATACTAAAGTGGGGTTAATGTTCAGATTCTGTAACTTGCAGTATTTTTCTAAAACACTGTGTACTCAGTACCAGAGTCTGTACATTTCCCCTGCTGTGAATGAGTTCTGGGAACAACACAAGCAGGAGCTTTGGGCGGAAAAGGCTGGGAAAGATGTTGTGCTAAGCGGTGATGGAAGGAATGATTCTCCTGGGCATTCAGCACAATACTGCACATACAGTCTAGCTGACATGGAAGATCATACCATATTGCAAATGAACATCATGGATGTTAGGGAAGCTGCTGGAAAGAGCAACAATATGGAACGGATTGGTTTCGAAAGAGGGATGGATAAGCTGCTTACATCACAGATGTCAGTAAAGGAAGTTGTAACTGATGGTCACTTAGAAATTGCAGCACTTATGAGTAAGTACCTATGCATAAGACTGTTTAACCCATTGAGCTACAATGTGCCTGCACCCTACTTATTTTTTTTACCTGTCTAACGCCAGACGATTTTACTCATCAATGTAGCTTAATGAGTTAAATAAAATATTTCCCCAATTGCGAGATGTACCTTCAGTAGTTCAGTTACCCAGCCCTATAGCAATAAAGAACAATATGCCCAGCCAATTTGAAAAAAAAATGAGATGAAATTATTTCTAGTAACTACTGTACTTCATGTGTGTTCATTTCTTAGAAAAAGCAGACAAGTATAAAGATATGAAACATCAAAATGATGTGTGGCATGGAGGAAAGTCACTAGCAAAGAAGATCAATGCAGTATGTTTGTGTACAGTATAAATGTAAAAATTGATCACAATATTTAAAGTTTGAACATCATAGGAAGTTTCCTACCAAATTAGTGCAAGTTGTTGCTGATAAGGTTGCACAAGGTTTGCGAGTCACTGCATAAAAAACATGTTTGGAATAAATACCTTACTTGTATTAAAATTCACACAGTACTAGAATTTGCGCCGTGCTGGGTGCGCGAATTTTAGTACTGCGCGAATTTTAGTACTGCGTTTGGGTTAGTTACATAGCCATTTAACACCTCTTCTATCTTGCAAAAATGATGTTAGGTCATTTTGATGGATGGAAAATAGTGCTAACCAAGCTTAGTCGTGTAATATCAGACACTCATTTTTAGTAATGCAAATCAGTTGATTTATTAACTGATTTTGCACTACTATTTGCATTGTGTTATTGCATGAAGAAAATGTTTAGTTCTTGTTGGTATTTTAAACTCGCGCTTTATTGTTATCGTAAATTTTGCTTACTTACAAATTTTGAAGCCATTTTTGGGTGCACCTAATTGCTTTTTCATTACGTTTTGACAAATATTAAGGTGGCTCCCTACAGTTTAAAATACGATTTATATAGATCAGACTTCATCCTCGCAACCTGCACGTGGAATCGTTGTCATATGTCGTTGTGTTCACTGTTTGGGCCGGTTCGTCAAAAATATTGAAACAAGCCGCGGGAAGTTTTTTTGACGTTTTTATCTACAAAGAAAGCTCCAGTTTTTCATTATAATCCTTTTTTTCTGAATTCGAACAGTACATATGTTGTTAGCTAGTTTAACCTATGTTTTATTGTGTTTTTACGTATTTACGTTCAGCATTGTCTTTCGTAATGCTCCAAATTTTCAACTTGTTGTGTTGCGAACTGTCAAACTGAAATGATACTGTCTTCTGTTATTAACTCTTGAAGAGTAGTGAACTGTCGCCGAAACTTATGTAAGTCCTGTCAATCAATTCAATTCACAGGTATCGTTTTATCTGCTAAATCAAATAAAACAGTTATGAGTTGTATTATAAGAAAAGTTAAACTTGTAGTTCGATGTTTTGAAACGTTTTCACACCGATTTTAACAACAAAAACAAATGTAACACTGGATTTAATACAATGCGTAATAGAGTTTTTATTATTAGTATTTTCAAGATTAATATTTTATTTTCATGTCTGTTTCCTTCGGGGGAATATTTTTTAAACTTTGTATTTTTGTTGTACAAGACGAGTGGTACAACATATTCAAATTTTAAGAAATTCTACAAATAACTTTTTCTGTAAGCATCATTCACAAATATCTCGAAAACTTGTTTGTAAACCTCCCTTCAAATTTTGATATTTTTTCCTTTATGGACCATAAATGTTCAAAAAAAATTTCAGAAAAATTCACCGAAAGAAAATATAGATATTGTCAATTTATTGTGAAATTAGGCAATAAAAGTGCAAAAGATTAAACGTCGTGGTTGCCATGGCAACACGAACACTGTTTTAATTTGTTCGTAAATGGACAGCGCACAGCGTCTGAACTTTCCTGGAAATGATCATATTGCCCTGTCTTAAGTGTATTTAATATAAATTCGGTTGAAAGCAAACGTTACTCAAAATACCTAGAATTGTAGAGAACTGTAGGGAACCACCTTAAAGTATTTGTTGATAAAAAATACTCATTACAAATGTGTTAATTGTTAATAGTTCTTCTATTAAACAAACCAAAAAGAACGAACATGGAAAATTACTTGCACAAATTTAAAGCTGCACAAATAAGTCTCAACAAGGTGCACAAATTTAAAGCTGAGTGAAAATGAGTAAGACACAAATTTTAATACAAGTAAGGTATTTTGATTAGCTATCATCAACATGACTGATAAAATAAATTGTTCACAAATATGTGTGTGTGGGTGACAGAATTTCAGAAACAAGATTCAGAAACTTCGTCCCAAATATTTGCAGCAAAGTCAGAAATTTTGTACCGGTATGTCATGTTTTGCAAATCACATAATATTCTGTACATTGTATATTCATTATTAGTCATCCAAAACCAAAGCAAATGAAGACCTGGCATTGTGGGCACCATCTTCTGTCTGCAACCATTTTTGGTATTGCTCAAAACAGTGTGATAAAGATGTCAAGAATATAAAGGTAAGGGTGAAGAATCAGTATTTAGCAACATAAACATGTTGCTAAATATTTACAGTATAAATAAATCACTATTGTTTTAGAACAAATTCAGGGATTACATTACCTATTGGATTTGGATAGAGATTTTTATACCATGCAGATTAAATTATAACAGAGTTTTTCATTATCTACATTATGTTTGCTCTGTATCTGTATTTCCATTTTTTTTTCATTTTTGCAAAGTGTGAAAATTATCCAGTATCCATTGGATTTGAGATTTTTACCATAGCGCTATATCCATCAGTATTTTGTAACTTGTAATAAATATTTTTATTATATATCAATAGTCAAAGTCGCATTTTTCTAGTGTTTTATTGGTTGAGAGCATATCACGTGAGAGTGACGAAATTAGGCTGTCTCCCTCGCAACAGCGCGAGAGGGAGATAATACGTTATCGACCGGCGAATAACAAAAAAAATCACGTGCGCCATCACGTGAAGATGCGACCTTTGGACATGCCTAGTACGTAATTAAAACTTTCGCTTTAAGTAACTGCAGTGTAGCCATGGTTTAATATAACGTTTTAACAATAAAATATTTCATGTATTTACGTTCATTTGTTCTTTAATAATTTGTTGTTTCTTTGACTATTGATATATTATAAAACACTTATTTACTGAGACCTCGGGAAAGCGGTGTGTTTTGTGGACCCTCGACCGTCGATGTTTCCCTCGGCTTCGCCTCGGGAAACATCGACGGTCTCGGGTCCACAAAACACACTGTTTCCCTCGGTCTCAGTAAATAAGTGATAAATGTTCCTACTTATAGGAAAAGTGGATCAGTATATTGCATCACATTGTAAATGAACATGAGTGGATTGCGGAAGAAGGAAATGATGGTGCAAAATGCGATCATGATCAACTGAGTGACGATGATAGAAACCAAGCCTTGGTTGAAGCTATCTATGAAGCTGTCTATTGAGCATGCACAAAGATCACAGGGTGGAACGACACTAATTTGACTATTTGCTGTAGTTTGACAGTTTGTTATCTGTACGTAACAAGCGTGGCATAGGTACTGTTTTCTTTGTTGTCTGTCTGACTTTTTATTCTACATGCAGTTCACAATTTACTTCTAAAAGATTTTGAAATCGGTGCCTCACCCTACAACATGGTCTCTCGTTTCGTATGATGATATATGACATACGCACACGCACGCACGTATGATGCATTGCATCATATACGCGTTCTTATTTCGCAGGGGTGGAACCATGTGAAAACGCAGGGCGCTATAAAACGTGTTTTATAGCGCCCTTCAATTAAACGCGGGAAACGAGCGCGTAAATTGCACAATAAAAATGTCTGGAATAGCTATCGACTCAGCTGACGAAGACAGCGTCCAAAGCAACGAATCCAGTGATCTAAAAACACTAAACAAAGGTTAGTGTTTTAATTATACTTTTAGTACTTTGTATAATTCAGTGTTATTAAATCTCTGCACACAATATCATTATGTAAAATAGGCATCGTGTTATAAATATTCATAATTCAAGTATACATACCCAGATACCCTGTTCCGATTTGTCGTTTAAATAGTATTTAAACATACACCGTACTTTTCTATGAGAGCGATAACTACATTTTGGATAAACGATCACACGAAGAAATTTAATCGATCGAAGTTTTGTAGCGAACTGCTGATGTTTTAGACAGTCTCGTACATATAGATATCTTATATAAGATATCTATGGTCTCGTACTATTACTATTGGTCTATTAGTAAAATATAGAAATATTTTGTTGTATATTTATTGCCCAAATACCATGTAGCCAACAATTTTGAAAATATAAAACGAAACGCAATTGAAATGGTGTGTAATATGAGCTGAAACAGCAAGAATTACATGACAAATAACCTGAGCTTGATTTTGGGACATAGTCGATTTTTATATTTCTTGAAAATTATCCTTTAGGCTATTAAAAGTGACACATAATTAATCTGTAACACAAAGCCTTTTATACAACCTTAAAATGCTCATTAAAAATTAATAAACCATGTGGCAAATCATGTCAGCCATAATATGCCATGTGGAGCGACTTTATATCTGATAAAACTCATCTTCATTTATTCTTTATATAATTGTTCATCCTAATTAGTATGATTGTATATAAATTGTTCAACCTAATAGGCAATTCCAGCTTTTAGTTTATGCCTGCAGGGGATGATGGGAAGTAAGGTATCATACCAAAACAACCAAAATATTTCAATATTTACAAGTATAAAGCTATCACTACGTGTTTACAAGGCCAACATTTCTATTTTTTCAGCATAATCAGCAATGTGATACCTTACTTCCCATCGTCCCCTGGCTGCACACATAAACTAAAAGCTGGAATTGCCTATTAGTATTCTTTTGTAGTCATATTTTAAGCTATTCAAAACACTCGATCTCGCGTTTTATCATATCTATAAAAACGCTTGGCTGCGCCTTGCATTTTAAATATGATAAAACAGTCCTTCTCGTGTTTTAGATACTACATAGTGTGGTAATTAGTGGTGGGCGATATATTGATACTTCTGATACTGAGAATTTGGTTATTGGTATTTCACATGCCAAGGGGAGAGTATTGCACTTTAATTAATGTCATGATGGCAATGATTTCACACATGCTGTCACACACAGGCTGATTGAGTTAAGCATGAAGAGTTAATGATGAAGGTTTGAGTAGCTAGCTTTCTGTGACAGTATGCAGAACAATGTCCAATAACCTAAGTAAGCATGACTGAGTTATACATGCACTTATATCTCATTTGTGTCGGTTTTCTTTGATCGTCCGAGGTTTATAACTAGCTAATATGCCTTGAATAAATAATTACATCAAACTTTTCGACAAAACGCGAGAATTTTTCATCAAAAATTTTTGAAAATGACAAACTATGTTAGAAAACCTCCACAAATGAGATATAAGTTAGTTATAAACCTCGAAAGTCGGTTTATAACTCTAACATGTACTTTTTGGTCATTGAGTTCGTCGTGTGTATACATTTTGGTTGCACTACATATCCAGATGTACCAAGCTGCACTAATGAGCTATTGAAAATGTGAGAGTATTTTTTGATAGCTTCAAACATGACTGCAATAGATGCCGTAGACTTCATTAGTATTCTTTATATAAAGAATACTAATTAGGTTGGACTTTATAAAGCAAACTGAAGATGAGTTTTATCAGGTATAAAGTCTCTTCCAGAGGTGTAACTTAACACTGGCCCGGGGCAAGTGAATATCATGACGGCAGAGCTGCAAATAAATATTTGACTTGACACGGCATTTGTCCGATCACTTTTAATTTTGGTCGGACAGAACTTGAATTTCGTTGCACAAAAACCAACACCACTAAATTTGGTCGGACATATATTCGTCACAAGATATATATAAGTCACAAGACAAGTATGTATAGCCATTCCGGCACAATGTAACTGTAAGTGAAATGCTAGAATGCCTTGTAAATTTTATTGCCAAATGCAAATTGAGTGAATTTGCAATCGGATTTTGTCACAGCAAAAAAATGTATGTGACAATTTATTTTTTGTGATCGGACTGATCAAAATTACTTTTAAGTAAACGTTTTATCTTGCTTGCACGATTGCCTTGCCACAAAAAGCTGGGCATCTTTAAGTTTATGTTTTCATTGTTGGATAAATTGTTTATATAGTGCATTCAAATTTTTTGTGGGCCAAAGCTAGATCTGAGGCAGTATAACATAGCCATATAGAACAGTGGGAGAACCGGTCGACATGTTGTCCCCTTATTTTATACACCCTACCTAGGTACCCCAGTGGCCATTGTCTGATGGCAAATTAATTTTATTCAAGTCCAACTTGCCCTGAGGGCAAGTGGTCAAAATAGTAAAGTTACGTCACTTACACCACTGTCTTCACATGATTTGCTAATGAGCTTATGAATTATTAATGAGTGTTTGAAATTAATTTATCACATATTCACTGGCTTTATCAAGGTGATAACAGGGTGACATAAAAACAATATTGTCACTGATAACAATTTTTGTCACTGATATAGTTTTTTTGTCACTGATATCTTTTTGTCACTGATATCGCTTTTTGTCCCTTATGTTTGTCGCTGTCAAAACAAACATGGCTAACTCACGGTCCAGATGACACTCATCAAAGGGAGAGCGCTGGCACTTGATGGGTTAGATCTTCAAATTTGACTACTATATAAATTGTGATATTATGTATATATATACGATTCCACTCGTGTAACGTTATGTAATGGTTTTTGAGTTGTTTTCAGACGAGTGTATACCAAACCGGGCAAGCAGAAAATTCTACTTGACCGCGGCTGGGATTCGAACCCGCGACCTTCGTATTTCTAGAACGATGCTCTACCATCTGAGATACAAGGTCAAGCTGAGAACGACTTGTTAAGTTATGATGTTAGTTGCATTTCGGAGGTTAGTCCTTCAATGCGTAAAGCCAGCTATTAGTCTGGCAATATTGTATGCGAATGTTGTGGTTTCCCACGTTTACGATTCCACTCGTGTAACGTTATGTAGTGGGTTTTTTTAGTTGTTTTCAGACGAGTGTATACCAGACAGGTCAGCCGCGCTCAAGTAGAATTTTCTGCTTGCCCGGTTTGGTATACACTCGTCTGAAAACAACTAAAAAAAAACCCACTACATAACGTTACACGAGTGGAATCGTAAACGTGGGAAACCACAACATTCACATACAATATTGCCAGACTAATAGCTGGCTTTACGCATTGAAGGACTAACCTCCGAAATGCAACTAACATCATAACTTAACAAGTCGTTCTCAGCTTGACCTTGTAGCTCAGACGGTAGAGCATCGTTCTAGAAATGCAAAGGTCGCGGGTTCGAATCCCAGCCGCGGTCAAGTAGAATTTTCTGCTTGCCCGGCTTGGTATACACTCGTCTGAAAAGAACTCAACAACCGCTATATAACGTTACACGAGTGAGTGGAATCGTAAACGTGGGAAAC